CCCCCCCCCGCATTATCAAGCCCTACAGGTTAACTAGCCTAGGCTGAAGCCCTCAGTAAACAGCCGCACACAGCTCATCCACACATGTGACTCAAGGCTCGGTGCCAATCACGGCTATCTAAAACCTTGATGTAACTTGCTGGCCAGCTTCACCAAAGCTCAGGTCTCCTTGGCCTGCCTCTGAGACCTCGTTTCAACAGACTAGAACCACCCAGGCTCTGCCTGCCCCGCTCAGGTTTCGTATATGATATGGAGACGCCACAGAGGAACTTTTCAAGCAGCTGGTGTGACACACTCAGCGAGTCAGGGACCTTAAAGATATAATCTTAAAGACAACAATTTTTTATTCTCTTCCTCTAAGGAACTTCCCTGGTGCCGGCAAGATAAAATTTACACCAAAGCTACAACCCCACCTTACAATTGTCTTTAAATAGCAGTGAAGTACAAAAGGCAGACCTGGGTTTGCCATCTTAGCCACCAAGCGTGGCTTTGCCATCAATTTTAGTTGCAAGAGAGCTATGGGCACCTACCTGTCTCAGCCTGGGGCTGTGGCAGCTCCTGCTCGGTGGCAGGGACGGTTTCTGTGGCTTCGCCAGGCATTTCTGAAGGGAATAAACAGGAAGCCCGAATTAACTGCGGGAATGCACCCGCCCAGCCCAGAGTCAAGTATTCTGAAAACACAAAACCAAACCATCTGCATAAGGCAGGTTAAGAAACGCAAGCACGAGGGCTCGGGGGCCAAGCTCCCCAGGGCGACGGCAGCGGCGTGAGGATGACACGACCCTCGCCGCCTTCCCGCCGCCCGAGTTCCGCCCAGTTCGCCCTTCTCACCCCCAAGGCCAGCAATCCGTGCTTGGGCTCCCCAACCCGTCCTAAAACTCACGCCACTTGGCCCGGGACCCCTGACTCCCTGACTTCCCAGAGCAAGGAACCTACAAGGACCATTGGTCCCACCAAGCCCCGGGCACAGGACGAGCGGCGTCGGGAGCGTCAGGCTGGGACCCCAACGTCCCCGGTGCGGGCGCACCCAACCCCTCCTGCCCGCCCGCAATGGCTCCCACGTCCCCACGCCCGGACTCCGGGCACGACCCGCAGCCCTCCGCTCCTGCTTCTGCCTGGACCCCTACCGCAGGCCCCATTTTGTCCGCAGGCCCGGGGACGAGCGGGAAGTCTGAGCCCCACACCGCCGCCGACGCTCCGTAACGGAAGCCCGGAACCTCCGGGCTCGCGACAAGGGAGGATGGCTACGGATAGAGACCGGAGAAGCCAGCGGCACTTACTGTGCGGAGGACACGGAACCAAGATGGCGGCAGAAAGAGAGCGAGCAAGAGCGTGACCCACGCTGTGGCAGAAGGAAGCCGGGAGCTGAGGGGGCGGGACCAACATGCGCTTCCGGGTCAGGCGCGCCGGCCCGCACTTCCTCTGGAGATCCGAGCAGCTGTTCGCCTCGCGTGGTGGTGACGCCGCCTAAATAAGGCTATGAATTCCGAAGAGGACGCGCGGACCTGGCAGGAGCCACCCCGCCGTGGCCTTGACCCCGAGGAACGCGCCGGGAGACCAAACGCGGAGTCGCGACAGCTGTCTAGTCTAAAACGGCGTCCCTACATTTGCCCTTCTCTAGAACGGGACGCGAATTTACAGCCAGCGTCTGTCACAAGAGCCCCGTCCGCGCGATGGAGAGAAGCGGCTTGTTACATCCTATTTGTTTTAATTTTGGGTTAGACGATTTAGGGCAGCGAAAACCGGGTTCTCTCCGGGAAAACCTCTTTAACCCAGCACTCGGGAGGTAGAGGCGGATGGATCTCTGTGAGTTCGAGTACAGCCAGGGATACACACAGAGCTTAAATACAATTCGCTTGGCCTTTTATTGTGGGTACTTCTCAGATATTCTAAAACTCACCCATTTTAGAGTCAGCGTAGGAATGTAACTTGGTTGGTAGAGTGATTGACTAGTGTACAAGAAGTCCCAGCTCCATGTAAAAGTCGGAAATGGTGGTACAAGCCTGCGAGCCTGCAAACCAGCATTTGAGAGGTGGAAGCAGGGTCGAAGGTTCTAAGCCATCCTCAGCAAAACAGCAACACAGAATCGTGTGCGAGGCTTTTTGAGACAAGTCCTGGCTGGGTTCAAAGTCACCTAGGAATCACCTGCCTCTGCTTCCTGAGTGCTGTAATTAAGGGCATGGGCTGCCAAGCCTTCAATTCTAAGTGTTTTTTGAGACATGCTTTTTCTATGTAGATCAGCCTGACCTTGAACTCATAGAGATGCACTTGCCTCTGAACCTGGCAAATTTAGAATCAGCCTGGGCTAGATATCGACACCCTGTTTCAAAACAAAAGCTCACACACACTCTTTGGAAATAGAATATACTGTGGAAATAGAATATACTGTAAAACTAATATTTTGTTAAATAGTTGCTGACTTACACACCATCTCTTAGTTCTACAAAAGGATTAACAAACCTAAACCTGGATTACTTACATCACCCAAAGGGGTTTGCCTGTTTTAAAGCAGGATCTCTGTATGCCCAAGCTAGCCTCGAACTTCCTGCAGTCCTCCCAGTGTTGGACTTACAGCTTGCACCACCATATCTGCCTAGTTTAACACTTACTTGATTTAACTGGCTGCGTTGCAACATTTAAATGTTCTGAAAGGTAATTTAAACTGGGCTGGCCAGATGCTCCATCTGGTACAGGAGCTCACTGTGCATGTCAGATGACTGGAGAGAGATCCATCCATGAAACCCGTCGAAAGGTGGAAGAGTGCAGACACCACAAGTACAAGAGCACACACACAAATAAGTAAATAAGGTAATAAAATCTGGGCTGGAGAACCGACTCAGTAGATAAGAGCACTAACTGCTGTTTCAGAGGGCCGGGCTTAATTCCCAGTACCTACAAACATTTCTGTCTGTAACTCCCAACTCCTGGGGGAACTCAAACTCTTCTGGGCTCTGGGGGCATTACATGCACATGGTGCACAGACATACTTGCAGGTGAAATACCCACCCTAATAACACAGAGATAAAGAAAAAGAAACCTGTATTGAGAATTCGAGTATAATCAATGAGAATTAGGATGAGTAAATCAGGATTAATGAGGGTAGTAGACTTTACAAGGACTAGGAAATTTTGAAATCACACTATGTGTGCATATATATATTATATGTAATACATATAACACAAATATGTATTACATATAATACTTGCTATATAGTTTACAATAAATATATACAATAATATATATAACACACATAATTTATTTATTTAGTTGAGACAGGGTCTCACAATGTAATTCTTTTTCTTTTGAGACAGGGCTTCTCTGTGTAGCTTGTCTGTCCTGGAGCCAAGGCTGGCCTTGAATTCACAGAGATCCTCCTGCTTCTAAGGAGTGCTAGGATCAAAGGTGTGCGCCGCTGTAACTCTTTAACTCTGCTGGCCTAGAACGTGATGCATAGACCAGGCTCCCTGAAACAGAGTCCTACCTGCTCTGCCTCTGCATGCTGGGTGAATGGCGTGCCCATTATGTCCTCACCCCCTGCGATAGCTTCTGTTTGGGTTAAGTTGGCTATTTTTTTCCCTTGGTTTTCCAAGATAGGGTTTCTCAGAGTTTCTCCATGTAACAACTCTAGCTGTTCTGGAACTAGCTTTGTAGACCAGGCTAGCCTCAAACTCAAAGATCCACCTGCTTCTGCCTCCTGAGTGCTGGGATTAAAAGCAGACTTCATGCCTGGGTCTAAATTGGTTACATTTTAAAGATGCCTCTTTGTGGAAAACTAATCCAGTTTCTGAGGGAAAAAGAAGCTAAAATTGAAATTACTTGAAAAAGAACATTCTATTAGGTCCTAGTACTGTTCATCTAACTCTTATCTTTGAAAACTGATTGGTGTAGTTACCAGAGGAAGGACACTCTGCTTTAAGGATTAAGGCACATAGATGATTCTGCCATATTTATTAAATGATTCTTAAAATATTTGTCCATGGTTAAAGATGGAAGGCATTGGTTTGATGGAAGTTGTTTTCTTCAGAAATCTTTTTGTAAATCTAAAACAAAATAGAAAACAAAATTTAAAAACTGAAAATATGGTTTTTAAGTGGAAATTAGTAAAGGAAAATAAAACCATTTATTTCCCTGTTCTGATTAGTTTAATGTTTTTATTAAATTCACACCATATATAAAGATTGTTTTACATTTGTTGAAGCCCACATTATAGGCTGATCCAGTATAGAATGGGAAGCCAAAGGACTTGGCTAGCAAGATGGCTCAGTGGGTAGGGACACTTACTACCAAGCCTGAAGACCTGAGTTCAACTAACTACCATAAGTTGTCTTCTGATTTCCACACACACACTGTGCATGCAAAACACACACACACACACACACACATTATATGCTTGCTTACACATACACATACACACAAACACAGGAACACATGCACACACACACCTCCCTAAATAAATAAACGTAAAAACAACAACAACAACCAAAACTAAAAAACAAAAACCCACTAAAGTTACAATAAATCATTTTTTAAAAAAACTAGATTAGACAAAGGTTAGTTTTACAAAGACTAGAAAGTTGCTCATTTGCTGGGAGCTGTAAACTATCAAATTTAGAAGATCTGCAAGGGGAGTGTCATCTTACCGCTCTTCTTGAGAAGTTCGCCTTTCCGGGACTTATCCAGGTTTTCAAGAAACTGTTCAAATACTTTCACGTACGGGGCAAGACTGGTCTTCTTATAATCTAAATTATAAAGCATGTACATTAGAACTAGCAGAAAGAGCATGAAATTCATTTTTTTTTCCCCCTGAGATAGGATTTCTCAGTGTAACAATCCTAGTTTTCCTGGAACTCACTTTGTTTACCAGGCTGGCCTCGAACTCACTGAGATCCATCTGCCTCTGCCTCCCACGTGCTGGTGGGAATTAAAGGTATGCACCACCACCACCCGGTCAAGCATGAATATTTTAAAACAACCAACCAGAGTGGTTCTTTGAAAAAGTTAGTAAAATTGACAAACCTTAGCTACCATGATAAAAAGAAATGGAGATATGAATGACCTAAGTTAGAGAAGTACAGATGTCATTCCAACAGATTCCAAGGAAACAGAGATTCTCTCTCTCTCTCTCTCTCTCTCTCTCTCTCTCTCTCTCTCTCTCACACACACACACACACACACAGAGCCAGGACTGGACAGTTACTGCTGAATTGTTTTGTTTTTTTTTTTTTGAGACAGGGTCTCACACTGTAGACCTGGCTGTGCTGGAATACACTATGTAGACCAGACTGGCCTAGAAGTCTCAGAGACTCTCTTGCCTCTGCTACCTAAGTGCTGGCATTAAATGTATGTGTCACCCTGCCTGACCTTTTCAGCTTTTAAGGAAGATCTCACCAACTTTTAAAAACCTTGTTCTACAAGCAGAAAACAAAACACTACGTAGAACACTACGAAAGTCAATATCCTGGTAGCAAAACCAGGAAAAGACACAATAACGAAAAAGAAACTACTTGCGAACTGAATTCAAGAACACATTAAGATTATACACTATGAACAAATAGGCTTCATGCCAGAGAGGCAAGGTTGATTCAATATATATATATACATACACACACGCACACACACGCACGCACACACACACACACACAATCAATAAATGTAATACATCATATAAATAAACTTAAGACAGAAACCACACAAACATTTTTATTAATGCCAAAAAGGCATCTAAGAAAGTTCAACATTCCTTCATGATAAAAGTTCTAAGACTTTAGGAATAGTTGGTACATACCTCAAAATGATAAAGGTTATATACAACAAACCTACAGTCAATATTATAGTAAATGGGAACAGACCAAGAACATTTCCTCTAAAATCAAGAACAAGACAAGGATGTCTACCCTTCCCTCTTCTTTTACTTTATAGCTTTTTAGATTTTATTATTTTTATTTTGTGTGCATGAGTGTCTGAATGTATGTCTGTGCACCACATGCACGCAGTGCCTATGGGAGCCTGAAGAGGGCACTGGACCTCCTGGAACTTGTGTTACAACCAGCTGCTATAATATGGGCCTGGAAACTGAACCTGGGTCCTCTGTAAGAGCATCAAGTGCTCTTAATTGCTGAGATATCTCTCCAGCACCTCCCCCCAACCCTTTATCTGAGCTCAAAGTCTTGAGCTCAAAGTCTATAGCACTTACAGAAGACAGACCTAAAAAGGGTAAAAACAGGAAAGGAGGAAGTCATACTGTCTATATTTGCAGATAACGCAATTCTTTCTTTTTTTGTTTGTATGTTTGTTTGTTTTGTTTTTCAAGACAGGGTTTCTCTGTAGTTTTGGAGTCTGTCCTGGAACTAGCTCTTGTAGATCAGGCTGGCCTCAAATTCAGAGATCTTCCTGCCTCTGCCTTCTGAGTGCTGGGATTAAAAGTATGTGCCACCACCACCTGGTGATAACGCAATACTTTAAAGACTCCATAAAATATACTAAGAAACTTGCAGGCTTCAAAATCAGCCTTCATATAAACCAATAGTGTATTCTCAGAGAAAGAAATTAGGGAAAATATCCCATTCAAAACAACTCCACCACCAGAAAACAAAGTACTCAGGAATATATCTACCAGGGAAGTACCCCACAAGAGAAGGGCAGCGCTGGAACAGCGTCATCACTGAGCTGGCTCAGGACAAAAGGCCCACGGTGTTAGAGTGAAGCTTCCACACATCTACTTACCTCTGATTCTATGTTTGCTTTCAGATTCGCCTCCATGCTCCTCTCTGTCCTTTTCATTAGAGAAAACCACATCCAGTTCTCGGCAGATGGCGCTACAAGCAATAGAATAAGAGAATTTTAAGTTGGTTTCTAGACTCAATCACCCACGGACACAAGAAAACCACTTCTGGTACTAACAACAAACAACCTGTCAGCTAAGTCTCAGGCAGTACAATCTCGTCTTAGAGTTCTTCAAGCAGATTATTATATTATGGGCTGGGAAACGCACAAAGATGTTCGCAGTGATGGATATTGTGCTTAGGCAAGCGCTCCAACACTCAGCAAGCCCTTGGTTTTCTGAGACAGGGTTTCAGTGTGTAGCTCTGGGTGACCTGGAGTCTCAAACTTGTTATATAGTCAAGGATGACCTTGAACTCCCTGAGGTCCGAGATGTCAGGTGTAAACCACAACAGCTGCTCCTAGAAACATCAGCCTTCTGCCTCTGCCTCTGGATTGGCAGAGGCACCATGTACCTCTGTGTACTATGGCACTATGTACCACCACGCCTGGCAAGATCTTCTGAATATGGTGCTGGGGATCTAACCAGTGCCTTGCATATGCGATATGCTTGGCAAGTGCTCTGTCACTGAGCCACACCTGAATACATCTCTAGGCTAGACTCTGATGTATGCATATGTATGTGAGCTATACTCAAAAAAGCAGGAGCTCGGGTGCTTACCCTCACCTGCGACCTTAATTGAGACGGGTTGTCTGTTTTCTGCTGTGTATTTTGGGCTAACTGGCCTGTGAACTTCTGGGGATGTTCCTGTCTCTCATTCTCATGTTACCACAAACACACAGAGGTCACAGCTACATGTTACTGTGTCTGGCTCTAAGTAGGGTCTGGGGATTTCAACCCAGGTCTTAATGCTTGAGCTTCACCTGAGGAGCCATCTTCCAAAACTTGGCCTAAAACTTCCAATATGCTTGAACTGGCGTTCCCCAAACTTATTATTTTTGATGCTGTGTTTTGAGTCCACTACTCTCTCTCTTTTTTTTTCTTTTCTTTTTTTCTTTTTTTGGAGACAGGGTTTCTCTGTGGCTTTGGAGCCTGTCCTGGAGCTCACTTTGTAGACCAGGCTGGCCTCAAACTCACAGAGATCCGCCTGCCTCTGCCTCCTGAGTGTTGGGATTAAAGACGTGCGCCACCACTGCCCAGCTGGGCCCAGTACTCTTACTACTGAGCTATGCCCCTTAGCCCTCATAGGCTTATTTGACCTTAAAATGCTTTCCCCCACAAAACAGCTAAAAACATGCATGCCCCCCCTAAAGTATCACCATATAATCCCTAGTACTAAACACTTCCATAATCAAATCTGTCACCCTGTGAAGCTACTTCTCCATTCAGGGATCTATGGTAATCTATTTAAAACCCAGAAGAATAGTTACAAATGAGGAATGATCCATGATCCGGAACATGCCTTATGGTTGGAACAGCAAATGGATCAAACTGGTCCACTTTCTGAAAATCAATTGGCACAGAAATGCGACCTATAAGAACCAGAAGTTATAAAGACATGATGGTTATAAAGACATGATGGTAGGTGGCTGTGTCTATGAATTATTTTTGGTTAAATTTTTACAGAGCGCTGGGGCGACAGTTTAGTGCTTGATGTGCACACACGAAGTCCCAGGTTCAATCCTTTGCATGCACATGAACATACACACACATAATTTTTTTTCTGGTTTTTGGAGACAGGGTCTCACTACATAGCCCTAGCTGTCCTTGAACTCACTACTATGTAGACCAGGCTGGCTTTGAACTTATGAGTCTTCCTGTCTCTGTCTGAGTACTGAGATGGGCGATATACATGAGCTATCATGCTCAGGTTGTTTGGGGACAAATTCTCACTATGTAGCCCAGGTTGGTCTTGAATTTATGAGCCCCCTAAGTGCTAAGACTGCAGGTATTTACCACCACACTTGACTACATTGGATATCCTAAGTTTATTATATTTTTTGCAAGGTCAAAACAAATTTATTCCCATTTTTATTGATATTTATTGAGCTCTACATTTTTCTCTGCTCCCCTCCCTGCCTCCCCTCTCCCCCTTCAACCCTCCCCCAATGTACCCATGCTCCCAATTTACTCAGGAGAGCTTGTCTTTTTATACTTTCTACTTCCCATGTAGATTAGATCTATGTAAGTCTCTCTTAGTGTCCGCATTGTTGTCTAAGTTCTCTGGGATTGTGGTTTGTAGGATGGCTTTCTTTGCTTTGTTTAAAAACCACCTATGAGTCAGTACATGTGATAATTGTCTTTCTGTTGTCTGTGTTACCTTACTCAAAATAATGTTTTCTAGCTTTATCCATTTTCCTGCAAAATTCAAGCTGTTGTAGTACTCCATTTTTTCTGCTGTGTAGTACTCCATTATGTAAATGTACCACATTTTCTTTATCCATTCTTTGATCGAGGGGCATTTAGGTTGTTTCCAGATTCTGGCTATGAGAAACAAAGCTGCTATGAACATAGTTGAGCACATGTCCTTGTGGCACAATTGAGCATCCTTTGGATATATACCCAAAAGTGGTAATACTGGGTCTAGAGGAAGGTTGTTTGCTACTTTTCTGAGAAATCGCCACACTGACATCCAAAGGGGCTGTACCAGCTTGCATTCCCACCAGCAATGCAGAAGTGTTCCCTTTTCCCTACAACCTCTCCAGTATAAGTTGTCATCTGTGTTTTTGATCTTGGCCATTTTTGCAGGTGTAAGATGGAATCTCAGAGTTGTTTTGGTTTGCATTTCTCTGATGACTAAGGATGTTGAACATTTCCTTAAGTGTCTTTCAGCCATTTTAGATTCCTCTGTTGAGAGTTCTCTGTTTAGGTCTGTACTCCATTTTTTTAAAAAATTGCCTGGTATAAATACCCGACTTGAGTTTAATAAAGGCGGCGGCTTTTTTACTCTCTGGCAAGCGAAAAAAAAAAAAAATTGGATTATGTGTTCTTTTGGTGTCCAATTTCTTGAGTTCTTTGTATATTTTGGAGATCAGACCTCTGTCTGATGGGGGGGGGGGGTTAGTGATGATCTTTTCCCGTTCTGTAGTCTGTCATTTTGTCTTGTTGATCACGTCCTTTGTTTTACAGAAGATTTTCAGTTTCAGGAGGTCCCATTTATTGTTTCTCTCAGTGTCTGTGCTGCTGAGGTTCTATTTAGGAAGTGGTTCTCTGTGTCAATGCATTCAAGTGTACTTCCCACTTTCTCTTCTATGAGGTTCAGTGTGGCTGGCTTTATGTTGAGGTCTTTGATCCATTTGGACTTGAGTTTTGTGCATGGTGATAAATATGGGTCTATTTTCATTCTTCTACATGTTGATATCCAGGTATGCCAGCACCACTTGTTAAATATGCTTTCTTTTTTCCATTTGATATTTTTTGCTTCTTTATCAAAGATTAGGTGTTCGAAGATGTGTGGATTGATATCCAAGTCTTCTATTCGGTTCCATTGGTCCTCCTGTCTGTTCTTATGCCAATACCAGGCTGTTTTCAGTACTGTAGCTCTGTAGTAGGGTTTGAAGTCAGGGACTGTGATGCCTCCAGAAGTTCTTTTATTGTTCAGGATTGTTTTGGTTATTCTGGGTTTTTTGCGTTTCCATATGAAGTTGAGTACCATTCTTTTGAGGTCTTTGAAGAATTTTGCTGGGATTCTGATGGGCATATTTTTATTATTTTTAGATATATGTGTGTGTTCTATGTACACGTGTACAGGTGCCTGCAGAGGCCAGAGGTATTAGATCCCCTCGGAGCTGAAGTTTAGGCAGTTGTGAGTCACCTGATATGGCTGTAGGATTTGAACTCATGTCCTCTGAAAGAACAGTACATGTTCTTAACCGCTGAACCATCTATCTTGCCCCCGGACATCTCTAAAAGTTTTTTTTTTTAAAGCCTTTATTTATATGTGTGTGTGTGCAAGTCAGAGGACAACTTGTAGGAGTTGGTTTTCTTCTTCAACCATGTAAGTCCAGAAAACTGAATCTAGGTCATCAAGTGGCTCTAACCTGTTGAGCCACCTCACCAGTTCACACTGGACATCTTTATGGAGCATTGGAAGTATACAATCATGTGCCCAGATAATATTTTGGTCAACTAACGGACTGCATACAATGGTGATATTATAAGATACTGTCCAGCAACAAGCAGCTTAGTTTGTATAAAAATATACTGTGATGTCTGCACAATAATAAAGTGATATTTTTCTAAAGGTATTTCTGTTGCTAAGTGACATATGACTTTTGATGGCATTACCTTATAAATCTACACCTAGTTCAAGGCCAGCCTGGATTCCAGAGCAAGTTCCAGGACAGCCAGGGCTACACAGAGAAACCCTGTCTGAACAAACAAACAGACCCCACAATCTACACTTGGGACAATACATAAAATTCACATCTAAGTGCTGAGGATATGATTTCTTTTGAAATGGGGTCTCATTATGGAATACCTGGGCTAGCCTGGAACAATCTGTGTAACCGAGGATGGCTCTGATCCTCCTGCTTCCCTCCCTTCTACATCCTGAGTGCTGGAATTACAGGTGTATAATAACTTTGTACTTGGCTTCAGTTTGTTTCTTTTAATAGGTTTTCTTCTTTTTGTCTTTTTTGAGACAAGGCTCTCATTGCCTCTCAATCTTCATGTTACTGACAATGACTACAAACTTCTGATTCTCCTGCATCCACCTCCTGATTAGTGGGATTCCAGGCTTGTGCCATCACACATAGCTGATGGTTGCTGGGGATGGAGCCCAGGGCTTCTGTGCACGCCAGGCAAGCACTCTGCAAACTGAGCCTCACACCCCCCGACCTTGAGACCTTTATATAGTAGCAATTCACCTGGTAGCTACTTAACGGGCAAGGTCAAACAAGTTGATTTTTCACCCCTAACCTCAAAGACAAAGACACACACACACACACACACACACACACACACACACACACACTCACAACTAATGACATCCTTGCTAATACCAAAAATAACAAGCCAGCCAGGCATGTTGCAACATGCCGTTAATCCTGGCACTCAGAGACAGAAGCTGGCAGAGCTCTGTGAGGGAAGCCTGGCCTACACAGTGAGTTCCAGGCTAGCCAGGTTTACATAGTGAGACGCTGCCTCAAGAGAAAATTTTTTCTTTTAGTTTTCCTTACTTTCCTCGCATTGTACCTGTTTTCGGATGAACGCTGAAAGGGCTCTTCAGTAAATGATTGATTCCTTTGCTCACGTTGATATCAAGGCGTGGGAAACAGTACTGGAGCATAATCTCCCATTCCAGCCAGGGACCACATTTATCATTCTTCATATTCTAAAAGCAGATGTGAGGCCATCATGATCAGAAGAGACTTCTGAGTATCTCTTCAAAGATGGTTAGAAAGAAAGATCTCCTTCAAACATCTTTAAATGACCAAGCAAAAACAACCAGAACTTAATCATGAATTGTATTATGATATTGGGAAATACAGATTTCAATACCTGGGATGTGTTGACCACTTTCTTCAGATACTCCCAGCGCTGAGATGAACTGTGAAGCCTTTGAAAGCCCTTCTGCAGCTCATCATGAATTGGTGACGCATCATTAAGGAACACATTGATCTGGGATACCTCAGTAAGTCAGTCTGTAATATGTATTATTACAAGGATGCTGAAGCTTCAAACATTTAGGAGCTTTTTAATGATTCCTAAAACATAAATGACAGGCACTTACAGCATTAAAAAAAATTCTCTTAGAGCTGGGCAGTGGTGGCTCATGCCTTTAATCCCAGCACTTGTGATGCAGAGGCAGGTAGATCTCTGAGTTCGAGGCCACCCTATTTACAGAGCGAGTTTCAGGACAGCCGAAAGCTACACTGAAAAACCCTGTCTTGGAAAAAAAAAATTAAACAAGTCCCTTATAAAAATATCGTAGTGAAATGACAGAAAGATGCCAAAATAATTAAAATGTATTATAATGAAGTTTCCCCAGGACTTGTACTTATTACCCAGACTAAATGAGTCCCCTTTCTTTAACCATTAATTCTAGGAACAACTTATAAAAGGAGAAAATTTTACAAAATTGTCTCATTTCTTACTGTAGCCCAGTGATATAAAAATGTAGCCAGCAGGATGTAGGATGGCCTACAGATGAAGGTTGCAGGGATGTACGAGACCACACAAGCGGTGCCATCTATAATGTCAGACTGACACAACTGCCTCACACAGTGACCACAGGAAAGGATATTCTCAGGAACCAGGGCTAAAACCTTCTCCCAGTTTTCTTTATTTTCAAGAATGTCTTGGCCAACTAAGGCATATTCTTCAAAGTATTTCCGAATTATGTTTATTGATCTCCTGTAGGAATAACAGTAACAGTATTAGCAACACACAGGACATGCAGGCACTCTCCTACTGGGTGAGGTCACTGTTTACGCTTCCTAAATTCCTAGAACTAGATAAAAAGAATGAGACCTTTTAGTTAGTGGAGTTAAAACTAGATACTTAAATGGGAAATAACCTAACATGTACCTGTCACAGGATAGGTAGGTATTAAGGAAAGGTTTGCTTCTTTTTAATTTTATTTATTTTTAATTTTGAGACAGCATTTCACTGTGCAACTCTGGAACTCCTCTGGAGACCAGGCAGGCCTCTATAGAGCCCAACTGCTTCTGCGTCCTGGTGCTGGGATTAAAGGTGTGTGCCACCATGCCTGGCCTAAATGATTACTTCTTAAATCCTACAATTTATAAGGTTACTAACATAGAACATGCAACACTGGTATAAATAACCAACTCAGGACAACCTATCAGTATTGCACATAGGACAACATATGAGTATTACATGTAGGACAAGCTATCAGCATTACATGTAGGAAAACCTATCAGCATTGTATGTAGGACAACTTATCAGTATTACACGTAGGACAACATATCAGTATTACATGTAGGACAATATATCAGTATTACATGTAGGATCTAGTTTCCTGCTTTACAGTCACAACACCTGCCTAGCTTTAATCCCATCACTCAGGAGACAGAGGCAGGAGGATCTCTACAGAGGCCAGCCTGGTCTATAGTGACCCTCTCAAAACAAAATAAAAAATAGCAACAAGTGCATAATGCTTGGGGTTTGCAAATATCTTCCATGTCCTGTTTGTCTCTGCCACAGCTCTCTCAAGGAGAGCAGGTCCAGCCCTCCACATCATTTCCATAAGGAAGTGCTGCCGCCACCATTTAACCAGGATCACAGGGCAGAACAGGTGTAGAGAAAGCATGGGTTTTAGAGGTAGGTAGACTCGGACCTGCTTGCTACATGTCAACATTACTTGTGTGATGGCAAGCAGGCTATGTGATTTCAACAGAGATACTGTCACGTTTCTCATGAAGTCGTGAAGGTCACTGAGAACCATAGGAGAACACACTGGAATAGCGTGACATCAAATCGAAGGCTGACAACTGCAACTGTTACTAAGAATGCTCCTCGGAGGCGAAAACTGACAGTAAGAGACTTCTACAAGCATGTGTAGCAAATCAGAGAACCCAGGGAGTCTCTCCCAACAGACCTGACAAAAGGGTGAAGTCTTTCACTTAGGTGAACCTTCTTCTTAACGTCTTGACCACCCTGAAAAATAAACCACCAAAGAAGACTTTTATTTATGTATATTATAAAGCATAAATAAAATTATTAAAACATCTTTAATATGTTCTATGGTTTTGGAGCCTGTCCTGGAATATATGTTCTATTTTTCCAGTTAAAGCTATAGATTGTGGCTAATTTGGAAGTATAGGAGCTTGAATGTTGTTTCAGAATTTAAAAAAATATTTAATTTTTGTATATATGTATACCTGAGTATATGTATGTGTACTACAGGAGTGTTGTAGCTGTAAAGACCATAAGATGGAGTCAGATCCCAGGAACTGGAGTTACAGGTGGTTGTGAGCTACCACATGGGTGCTGGAAACTGAATCAGGGTCCTCTGCAAGACTAGGAAGTGCTTCTAACCACCAAGCCATCTCTCCAGCCCAGAATCTCAATACCCGTGACTTTCTGTTAATTTTATTGGATAAAATTAACTAGAGAAGCAAATGAATTTTCCTTTCGCTACAAAGGAGGATCCTTAGCTGCTGATGGAAATTTCTGTCCCACCTGGTCCCACAGTCATTAACTCCCACATAAACACAGAGGCTTATATTAATTATAAACTGTTTGGCCCAGTGTTCAGACTTATTACAACTACCTCTTACAGCTTAAATTAACCCATAATTCTTATCTATATTTAGCCATGTGGTTTGGTACCTCTTTGAGACTCAGTAAGGCAGTCTCATCTTGCTTCCTCTGTGTCTGGCTGGCGACTGTATCTCTGCCTTTCCTCTTCCCAGAATTCTCTTAGTCTGGTTGCCCTGCCTATACTTCCCGCCTAGCTATTGGCCAATGAGCATTTTATTAAACCAGTACGAGTGACAAATCTTTACAATGTACAGAGGCATTATCCCACAGCATCAAGCACCAAAATATTTAGCATCTTTTGTTGTTGGAAGCAGGGATTCACTCTACATCTCAGGCTGGCCTGGAGCTCACAGCCTCCTGCTTCAGCCCTTGGTGCTAGAATTATGGGTGTGAGATGCCATCTACATTTTTAAAATATAATTTATCTATTGAGTTTCACATATTTATGCAATGAATTTTAACTATTTTCACCGCCCCCCAACCCTGTTCATTTTCAGGTCATTGCCCCAATGTGGGTGAGAGGTCATTTCCCAGAGCTAGGGCGACTTATTAGTGGTTACACTACTGATGAGAATGACATGCCCACCCCACTAGTCCCACAGGAAGGGGTGGGGCTTCAGGGCCCCTTCCTCCATCCCTGAGGGATGAACTGTGTCTGAGAGCCCCATCACATGCAGAGCATGTGCAAACGGACGGCTGTGCTGAGTCCATATCTGTGCAGTGGCTGTCTTGCCCAGAACAAATCTCTGCCACACGGGTCCCATCCTCTGGCTCATCCCTTCCATTTTCTCTCCTGCAATGTTACCTGAGCCTTGTGTCTGCATATGTGTGCATGTCATGTGTATGTATGCCTGGCTATGTGCATGTGTGTGTGTGTGCATGTCATATGTACATTTGTATATGCCTGGGTATATATACGTGCATGCATGTTTATGTATGTATGTGTTTTTACGTGTATCTGTGTGCATGTGTATGTGCATGTAGTATCTTTCAAAAAGTAGTTACTATGATTTTTACTTAGTCTAAAACATGAATGCTCTAAAAGATAATTTTCTGTGTCACTAAAAGTTCCAGGCTTGGTAATATCTACTAAAGATGTGGAAACTGTCTTCCAGAGGACCTGAATTCAGTTCCCAGCCAACCACACGGTGGCTCATAACCATCTGTAATGAGACCTCTTCTGGCCTGCAGGCATACATGCAGGCAGAACACTATATATAGTAAATAAATCAATCTCTTAAAAAGAGAGAGAAGCTTACCTTTACAAGACTCAAGTATTCTACTATCCCGGAACGCACAACAGAGGACAGCTTTCTAACGGACTCATCACAGACCCAACAATGAACACCTCTCCTTCCTGAGTACACCCAGAGGCGGTGCTTAAACCCAAAGTCCTCTGTGGAGGGACAGAACAATAGGTTTGAAGACATTTTATAACCTAGTTTTCACTTTCTCATGTTTTCCACAAGTATTCTCATATACTTGCTATATCTCCAAGGATGACCTTGAACTCCTGATCCCCCACCTCTACCAACAGATTTGGCTTTCTTATATTTTGTTTTTTAATTTGTATCTATATGATATATGAGTATGCATGCCTGTACATACATGTGGAAAATTCAGAGGCTGACACTGGATATGTCCTTCTATTTTTGTCCATCTTATTTTTTGAGGTCTCTCACTCAATCTGGGGCTCGCTGATTCAGCTAGACGGGTTGGTTGACCAAGCCTCTGGAATCTGTTTCTACTTCCCCATGCTGTGGTCACAGGTGTGTGCTACCATGCTTGGTTTTTACAGAGGTGCTGGAAATCCAAACTCAGGTGCTCATGCTTGCAGTGTGGTGGTCTGACAGAAAATGGCCCCCAAAGGGAGTGGCACTATTAGGAGGTGTGGCCTTGTTGCAGGAAGTGTGTTGCTCTGGAGACAGGCTTTGAGGTCTCATATATGCCAGTCATGGCCAGTGTTGTCTGCAAAAGGCAGGACTCCCAGTTCCATGTCTGTCTGAATGCTGCCATGTTTTACCATGATGACAACGGGCAGAACCTCTGAACTGTAGTGAGCCACCCCAATTAAATGTTTTCCTTTATGAGAGTTGCCCTGGTCGCTGGGTGGTGGTAGCGCACATTTTTAGTCCCAGCACTCGGGAGGCAGAGGCAGGCGGATCTCTGCGAGTTCGAGGACAGCCTGGGCTACAGAGCAGGTTCCAGGACAGCTAGGGCTGCTACACAGAGAAACCCTAGAGTTGCCACAGTCATGGTGTCTCCTCACAGCCATGGAAACCCTAAGATACACAGCAACAGCTTTCTCATTTTAATCATACTGACTTACATGTAGCTTGCTGTGCCCTGAGCTCTTGATTTTTTTTTTACCCATCCTCACCTTTCTGACAAGGATTTTTTTTCTTTCTTGACTTACAGTATTTATGTGAATATGTATATATGTGCGATGGTGCCTGCAGAGGCCAGAAGATGGTATTGGATCCTTAAAAATAGAATTAGAAGCAGCTGTGAGCCAACCTACACAGTTGCTGGGAATCAGTTCAGGGGTACCATGATGGGGGTGGAAGAGCAGGAGGATCAGTTCAAAGTCATCCTTGGCACTAGACCAAGTTTAAAACCAGCCTGGGTAAGAGCCTTGTTTTTGTCCTTCATTTTTCTCATGTGTACCGAGCACACAGAGTTGCTCTCAGCGGACTGCACTGGGAGAAGGTGCACTGGTTTGTTCCACAGCTGTCTTCACTGCAAATCGCTCTCTTTCCTTTTTCTCTTATGTTTCAGGGGCAAACACTAGAAATGTCTGAGATCTGATAATGAAACACAGAGGCTGAGGAAAGCAGACCCTGACGGCCACGTACCCTTCAGTGCTCGGTCTATGATGCGCATGGCCATCGTCATAAGAGTCCAGCACTTGGAACATATGTCTGCAGAACTGGAACACAGCCATCATTACTCACTGCCAGGGACATCACCCACCCCGCCAGGGAGGTGCTTACCTGCAGCATCGCCTTACGTCATCGTAGTCTGTCATATCAATGTCAAAGACCAGTTCTTTCTCCTGTGCCTGGAAAGCTCCCAGCTTCACCGTATTGTGTTGACTGGGCTACAGATACAAAATACCCATCAGTTTCTGTCAGAATTGCCATGTCTGCTCACACAGAAAAATGAGTCAAAAAACTTGCATAATACCAGTCTATGGGGCTTTGAGCACATTACTTTGGATCTTACACAATCTGAATTAGTGATAGCTTTATTTTTTTATTTATTTAGAATAAAGTTTAATAAATTCTCTATAAATATGTTTCATGATAAAAATAATAAAGCATAGGGCGGTGGTGGTGCACATCTTTAATCTCAGCACTTGGGAGGCAAAGGCAGGTGGATCTCTGTGAGTTTGAGGCTGGCCTGGTCTACAGAGCGAGTTCCAGGACATCTAGGGCTGTCACACAGAGAAACCCTGTCTCAAAAAAAAAAAAAAAGGAAGAGAACTAATAAAGCTATTTAGGTTTCTAATAAAGATATCTACACAAATAATCCCTATTACAGGGTGCTTTACAAATTTTTGTTATTATACATACAAATAACAAATATATACTTATTTTAGATCCCATCAACAGATTAAAAAAATCTCCTCAAGTGAGTCTTTGTTGTTGTGTTGAGATAGGGTCTCAGTAGGCCAGGCTGACCTTGAACTCCCTATGTGGCCAAGGATAATCTTTCTTTCTTTCGTTCTTTTTTCCTTCCTTCCTTCTTTCGTTTTTTTTTTTTTTTTTGAGACAGGGTTTCTCTGTAGCTTTGGATCCTGTCCTGGAACTTGCTCTCTAGACCAGGCTTGTCTTGAACTCAGAGATCCACCTGCCTCTGCCTCCCGAGTGTTGGGACTAAAGGTATACACCACCACCACCTGGTACAATCTTGAATTTCTAATCCTCCTGCTGACACCCGAGTGTAGACACAACCAGCTTTGATGTGGATGCTGGAGATTTGAACTCAGGTTCAAAGCAAGTGTTCTTCCTGCTGAGCCTTCTCCTTAGCCGGAGACACAGTCCTTTCTCCTCACTCTGTTGCTTTTTACTGACAGTCCAGGCAGGAGACTTGATTCCTCTCAGAAGAGTCTGACCAGACATGCTGGATACTGTTCTAGGCTCTGGGACAGGTCAGTGTGTAAACGGAAGGCCTCTATGCTAGTGGAGATGTTATTCTGACAGACCTAGAGAACATGGCTGAGCCAAATCACTTTCCAGTGAAAACATCACACCCATAGCCGGGTGCTTTAGTAAATCCCAGCACCTCAGGGGGCAGAAGCAGGAAGATAATGAATGGGGAGGGAGGTGAGTATAAAAGAGAGTTTAATCAACTATCATTGAAATCCCCAGAAATAAGATATTTCAAAGACAAAGGACGGGATACTTATAAAAAGTACAGCTCCCCCCACCATTGAATATATTGAGTGCATTCAATAGCTGTCAGAACAGACGATAAAAAGTCCAGACCAAGACAATAAAAGTACATATACAGCTGTACAGTTTCAGAACTAGGGAAAAGAAGGATTGTCAGGAAATTCTAAGAGCTCCCAGGTCTCATGTATTAGAAAAAGAATAAGACTGAAAAACATTAGTTTCCCACCCCCTGGGCAACATGGCTCTAAGGATCTAATGTAGGGTTTCCCACAACACATGCTCTATGACTAATCTATATCCCAGCTCCTTTTCTGAGAAACTTATTAAAAACTTCTACACTTATTGTGTTGTGTGTGCAGGTATGTCTGTCAGAGGTTGAAGTCGGGAGTTTTCTTCAAGGTCTCTTCCTGAACCCGAGTTCCCTGATTGTGCTAGTCTGGCTGTTCAGCAAACTCCAGGAATCCCCTTGTCTCCGCCTTGCGGGACATGGGTACTCAGCTCAGGTCCTCAAGCGCTTTACCAACTGAGATATCTCCTCACCTTCAGGCTTTCTGTTTTTAAATATAGATTTTATTTTTATTTTTCTCTTTTAGCCAATTAAATCAAAGGCTTTTTTGTTTGTTTGTTTCCAGAGACAGGGTTTCTCTTGCAGCCCTGGCTGTCCTGGCACTCACCCTATTGATAAGGTTAGTTTCAAACTCAGAGATTCGCCTGTCTCTGGGATTAAAGGAGTGTGTCACCCCTCCAGCAAGAATTTTTTTGTTTTGTTTTGTTTTAAAGACATGGTCTCCTGTGTTTCAGACTGGCCTCCAACTCTGCTGCAGCCAAGATGACCTTGCATATCTGATCCTCTGGCCTCTGCTTCCTTTACACTGGGATTACAGGAAATGCACCAACACACTTGGTTTACGGAACCCAAGGGTCCATGCATGCCACTCCAAACAAGTGTGCTTCATCAACTATAACAAACTCTAAAATGTTACCTTCAAAACTTGGGGCACCAACCCACTCCGGCCTATGAAACATTATACACAAAAAGGACTCCTTACTCTGTGAGAATATACAGCGCCGATATCAATCTTATAGGGATTCATCTTCTGCATCTCCTTTTCCAGATCGCTCTGGTTGTTGAAGGACTGGTAGCGAATATAAATATCATCCTTCAGTGTGAATGAAAATTCACGGTGTTGAAAGTAGTTCTTTGTCACTGCAAAACAATTTTAATTTGACATTTTATTCAGTTTAGGGCATTATACAACCTCAACTAACAGGAAGATATACATATTAAAACGACAGAGTCTTACTTATAGACTAAGCTGCCCTGATGTTTACTATGTAACCCAGGTTGACTTTGAACTCAGGAAAATTCACCTGCCTCAGTTTCCCAAATGTAAGGATTACAGGTGTGGGACATCGGGCCCTCTAGAATATTTTTCATGAGTGCACTTGTTCCCAACACTGTTTTACCTAGCCTGTAATTTGAAGGGACGTACTATCCCACATTTGCTAGGGAACAATAAGCAGGAGGTGTAAATATTTTAAAGACGAAATGCCTTTCATTGGGGCCACTAACGGACCCAGCAGTGAAAGTGTCTGTTTTGCAGGTCACACCTCCATGCCTCCATGCTAACACCTAGACGCCCGCTTGTTGCTGGCCCCGTTCTTTCTTTTCTTTTTTAACACAGTATGGCCGCAGGACCGTCAGGTCCACCTGTCTTTTTGTATCTTAGAGGTGGCGGGACGGGACGGAGATGGTGCAGGAAGACACTCGACACATCTGACACTCAGAGGGGCCCTTTATACAGTCATTTAAGGACATTCCGCCCAGAACATCCTCACACACTTCTCCCAGACTCTCCACCCACCCCCTCCCGGCCTCCATCACCTCCTCCATAGTTGAGCCAGCGATAGTACTGGGCGTAGGGAAAGAGCCTTCGGTAATATAGCTTGAGTAGCTCCGGCAGCTCCGCAGGATCAAACGGCTCCATGAAGTAAGGAACTAGACTGACACGAGAATTGGCGGGAACGACACAGGGCTCCACGGCGGCGCACGCAACGAAGTCATGGAGCGCTGCCGCAAGGCCTGCCGGGAATTGTAGTTCTTGCAAGTCCTGCAGGCTTGCTCTTTCTGAAGAGTTCTGAAATCCTGTCTGGAAAAACAAAACAACAACAAATAACTTAGCTTTATGAACAGTGATTGCAATAGGTCAGAGTTCTTTTTTATTTTTTGTTTAATTTTGCATTGACATATGTGATGTTCTATTATTTTAAATATATATATTAAATACAGAGTCTTGCTTTGTTTTCCATGTTGGCCTCAATCAGAAATTCTCCTGTTTCTGTGTTTCAAGTGCTGAGATCATTACTGTGTGCCACCAGGCTGTTTTGTTTTTCTTTTTTTCCCCCTTGAGACAGGTTTCTCTGTGTAGCCTTGGTTGTCCTGGAACTCACTCTGTAGACCTGAACTCGAACTCAGAGATCGCCTGCTTCTACCTCCTGAGTGCTGGGATTAAAGGCGTGTGACACCACGACCGACAATTTTTTGGGGTATTATTTTTACTTTTAATTAACATACAACATTGTATTTCTGGGCTATAGTGTGTTTTTAAAATTACTGTTTTTGGCCGGGTGGTGGTGGCACATGCCTTTAATTCCAGAACTTGGAAGGCAGAGACAAGTGGATCTGTGTGAGTTTGAGGCCAGCCTGGTCTACAAAGTGAGTTCCAGGACAGTCAGAAATACGCAGAGAAACCCTGTTTCGAAAAACAAAACAAAACAATATATATATATTTATATACACATATATACTATACATACATACATAAAATTTATTTATTTAATTATGTGTATGAGCAATTTGCCTACATGTATGTCTCTGCACCACATGTATGCAGTGCCCACAAGTTAGAAGAGGGCATCATATTCCCTGAACTGCAGTCACAGATGTTTGTGAGCCACCACGTGGGTCCTGGAAGAACAGCCAGTCAGCCAGTGCTTTTAGTTGCTGCCCTAATTTTCCCACCCAATTTTATTTATTTTTTGGTTTTTTTGAGACAATTTTATTTTTTATTAGAATATCTTTTATTTTTTTTACAATTTCATACATGTAAACAACATTTCTTTTTTAAAAATTATTTATTTCTATGTTTGTGGGTGTTGTGCTTAGATGTGTGTCTGTGTCCCACTTCATGCCTGATACCTATGGAGACCAGAAGAGGCATCAGATCCCCTGGCACTGGAGTCACAGACAATTATCAGTCACTGTGTGGGGGCTGGGAATTGAACCAGGGTCTCCTGGAAGAGCAGCCAGTGCTCTTAATAACTGAGCTACTTTTACAGCCCCTAAACAAAGTATCTTGACTGTATGCACCCAACTCTTCCCTCTCATTTCCTCCATGAATCCCCAACACATATCTTTCCCCCTTCGTGTCTCTCCTGATGTTTATTTTAACCCACTGTGTCCAATTAGTGCGGTCTGTTGCAATGTTAATGGACCTTGTTGGCTTGATATTTTTGTTGTCTTTCGAGATAGGGTTTCTCTGTTTAGCCCTGGATATCCTGAAACTAACTCACTATGTAGACCACACCGGCCTCAATTTGCAGTGATTCTCTTCCCCGGTGCAGAAATTACAGGTGTGTAGGAATTACAGGAGTATAGGAATTACAGGTGTGCGGGAATTATAGGTGCAGGAATTACAGATGTACAGGAATTACAGATGCGCAGGAATTACAGGTGTGCAGGAATTACAGGTGTGCAGGAATTACAGGTGTACAGGAATTACAGATGTGCAGGAATTACAGGTGTGCAGGAATTACAGATGTGCAGGAATTACAGGTGTTCAGGAATCACAGGTGTGCAGGAATTACAGGTGTGCAGGAATTACAGGTGTGCACCCCTTACCCAGCTGTCTCGGATTCATTTTGATCAAGGTTGGCTGATTGTACTTACTTGGTTTTGTCAAAGACGAGGGTCTGGTTTCATTTTTCTGCACATGGATGTCTAATTTTACCAGTACCACTTAGTGAAAAATTGTCCTTGTTCAATTTATATTCTTGACACCTTTCCCCAAAGTCAGTTGGCTGTAAACACATACACTCATTTCTGTGTTCTCAGTTCCATTCCGCTTAGAATTCTATTTTCATATATTCTCTGACCACAGCCTTTATATTTAGTCTCTCAGACAGAACACCCAGGAATACTGAAATATGAATTAGAAAAAACTTGAAGAATCATAGCTTTAAAAACAAGCATCCAGGAAGCCCACTTGCCACTGGTGTGTTAATCTGCCAGTCTTGGGTGGTCATGACGTATCTTCCGGCAGTCACGGACTAGCTGGGCAGTCTGATAGCACATCAGTGTTGTGCCACTCGAAAATCAGATTTTCAAAACGTAGTTAATTTATTTGTAACTAAGTTTTTTTAAAAAATAATTTATTTAATTTTAAGCACATTGGTGTGACGGTGTTAGATTCCTGGTCCAAACTGAGTTACAGAGAGTTGTGAGCTGCCATGTGGGAGTGTTTGAACCCGGGTCCTCTGGAAAGGCAGCCAGGGCTCTTAACCGTTGAGCCATCTCTCCAGCCCCTGTAACTAAGTTTTTTACATCTTAGAATTTTAATTTTCTTATTGTTCTTATTTTATTTTTTAATTTAATTTTTAAAGACTAATTAAAGACATTTTGTGTATGTGTGTGCACCTGCATGGGTCTTTATGTACACCCACGGAGGCCGGAAGAGGGCACCAGATTCCCTGGAAACTGGTGGTACAGGCAGATGTGAACTACTGTGTGGTTCTAGGGACCAAATCTGGGTCCTCTGCAAAACCAGCGAGTGTTCTTAGCTACACCTCTGGTCCCATCACATTAAAAAAATTACATTTATTTATTTAATTAATCAGTTATTAATATAATTTATTAAAATTATGTAATTTTAAAAATTACATTTTGGACATCACTGTTCATGTGTCCCATCGTGTGTGTGGAGGATGAGAACTTTCAGGACTGGTTCTCTCTCTAACATTCCAGTCTGGGAAATTAAACTCATGTCATTAGACTTGGTGGCATGTGCCCTGACCTGCCGAGCCGTTTCCCCAGCTCCCAACTCCCCCGCAAAACCATACTTTTCACAAATTTTATTTGTTTGTTTGTTTGAGACAGGGTTTCTCTTTGTGACAGTCCTGGCTATCCTGGAACTCGCCTTTAATCCCAGCACTTGGGAGGCAGAGGCAGGTGGATCTCTGTGAGTTCGAGACCAACCTGGTCTACAAGAGCTAGTTCCAGGGCAGTCTCCAAAGCTACAGTCTCAAAAAACCAAACCAAACCAAACCAAACCAAACATTCTGGTGGTGGTGCACACACTTTTAATCCCAGTACTCAGGAGTCAGAGTCAGAAGGACTCCAGCATGCATATCTATCAAGTTTCAGGTCAACAGGCAGACCCTTGCACAGGGAGACCCTGCCTCAAAACAAAACAAAAACGATACGAACAACAACCAAACAATTAAAAAAGCAATTAACAAACTACTTTTAATAGTCTGAGGTGTGCCAGAGAGTCCCCTACTCACTGGTGTGGCTCAGTGAAGTGGCTGTTTGAGGAGAAGGAAGCTGTAATAGATTTACTGCAGACTCAGTACAAAGAGAATCTCTTGGGAGCCAGGACCATTCATATGTCAATCATCCTAGGCAAGGGCTTTTGGAAGAGGGTTTATTCAAGAGACAGGCAATATAAAGAGGTCTTACATCTGAAGTCTTCCTCCCCAAGGGTATGGTTGAAGGGGTATTCATGGGATAAAGAAACAGGGTGGTCTGAAGCACAGGACGGACCATAGACCCCATCCAGGCATAAAGCCCTTTACAAGGTCCCTGGGGTAGTGGCCTTTCTGCCAAACGCCACTGGGAGGCAGTATTGCCACCTTTTTGTTTGTTTCCACTACGATTTCATCCACAGAAGCAGCAAAACCGGTTTCCCCTTCAAGCCTCATGCTATCTGACTCTACTCCTTGGGAACTAGTATCTAATCAGTCCCAAGTCTTTTTCTCCAAGCTTGGCAGACTAGGACACCTATCATTTGGCATTTCTTTTTAGTTCAATTTATTTTGTGTGTTGCTAGCAGCTAGAAGAGTAATTTTTTTGTGTGAAGTTTGTCTTTTTGATCCTTATTTTACTTCTCACATTGTTTTAAAATTATTACCATTTGGGAAGGAAACTCATTGCATTGCCTAGGTTGGTCTCAAGCTTGCATTTTACTGCTCTAGGATCCTAAACCTATTAGACTTTCTTTAATTTATTCACTAGTCTGCAAGTAATTAATGAATGAGTGTATAATAGTTTTGCACATCACTTAGACTCAAGCAAGGCGTACCTAGAACACTGATTGGTAAAATACTGTTGCTGGGTGTGCCCACGAGGGTGTTTAAAGAGGGCTTCAGTGAATGAACTGCTAATCTGAATGGGAAGGTCCGCCCTCCCTATGGGCAGGCACCGTCCAATCAGCTAGAGGACCAGAAAGAACAAACAGGACAGGAGGTGAGTTCCTCTTTTCTAAGCCTGGAACACTTCTGTCCTCCTCGAGGGCAGAATGCTAGACTCTCAGGTCTTCGCATTCCAGGACTCAACTGTGTCTCAGCATCCTCTGGCTTTACCCTGAGAGACAACTAGTTCCTCTGGTTCTGAAGACTGGACTGAGCCTGCTTATTGGCACCACAGAGACCTCCTTACAGACAGCCCGGTGGGAGACTTCTCAGCCTCTACAATTTCGTGAGCCAATGCCCCTAGTAATCCCCTTCCATATTCTATATCTGTTTAGCCTGGTGGTGCTACCTCTCCAGATAATACTATCACAATCTATGTTGGGCACAAAGGTGAGCTCTGGGGAGAAAAAAATTAATGACATGGTTTCTGCTTTTGAGGAAGTGAAGGTCTAGGAGCGGCAACAGGCATAAGCAAGGATAATAAAGTTATAGGTTTAGTTAGGAACTTTAAAGCTTTTGTTAAGTTTATATGCATGGATTTTTGTGTCTATCACATATGTTTGGGTGTCTACAGAGG